CTCGGTTCGCGAGGCAGAGCGACACTTTTTTCTGCCAGATTCTTTCGTTTCATGCAAAAACGCGTCGAATGAGCCTAATTTTATCGAAATCGGAGGTGATGGAGGTATTCTGAATAATTACCAATAATATAAATGGTATTAGAGTTAAGAGAGACTATAAGTTAAGATTATAAGGTTAATTGGAAAAAAAGATAAAGATGAATGCGATTCGTATAATGCGTAAGTTGAATCGGATTTGCAAATGTTTCGTAAATACCGAAGCAAAATGTCGAGACAGACCACAATGGATAAAACCGGTGGGACATCAGACCGAAGTATCTATATATAATCCGATAACGAAATGCAAAGTACCACTGATCCTGAAAACACAAAACATTTTGAAATGGTATATCTGCGGACCTACAGTATATGACTCCGCACACATTGGACACGCAACGTAATAAAAATATATAAACTTTTGCGTTATGTTGTTTGCTATTGTTATATTTAACTAATTATTAATTAAACGATTAGTATTTAATTCAATACAATTATTTTACATTTATAGTACTGTAGAATGCTTTGCGATCATTATAATTATTATAATTTTACCTGTATATATATATATTATATATATATATATTTATTTATTTAATGTTTATTTTTATCATAACAAATGGATTTAGTTCAAAAATACCAATAAACTTTTAATATATATAGATTTAAATATATTACAACAAAAAACTAATTTACTTTTTATCATTTTTTGTAGGACTTACATAAAATTCGATATTATTCGTCGAATTTTGTCAGATTATTTTAATATAGATGTATTATTAGTTATGGGTGTAACTGATATTGATGATAAAATAATAAGACGTTCTATTGAAAGTGGAAAAGATTTTGAGACTTTATCAAGGCATTATGAGACTGAATTTTTTGCAGACATGAATAAATTAAATATCCGCGAACCATATTTACGTTGTAGAGTAACAGATTATATACCACAAATCATTCAGTTTATTGAGAGGCTTATAGCCAAGGATGATGGTTACATTACATCAGATGGTACGATACTTATTAATATTTGAATCTTATCACTATAAAAAAAGTATTGAGTTTTTATTTAGGCTGCTTTCCTTTTAGGAGACACAGTCGACACAAATCGACACAAGTGTCGTTCTATCTTTGTCACTCTCTGAATATCAAGAAGGATAGAACATTTGTGCAGACTTGTGTCAATTTGTGTCCTCAAATGGAAAGCAGCCATCCTTATAAATTATTTTGTATGGATTTTACAGGATCTGTTTATTTTAATACCAGCAAGTACAACAAATATGGTAAATTATCAACTCTTGTACTTGATACTGTAAATGATCAGAATTTTATTGGTAAAAAATCAGCATTGGACTTTGCACTGTGGAAAGCAGCAAAAAAAAACGAACCATCGTGGAAATCTCCATGGGGCTATGGTAGGCCAGGATGGCACATAGAATGCAGCGCAATTGCAAGGTAATTTTGAAAAATTTCCTTCTGTATATACTTTATATGAAAATTCTTTTGTATCGACCTTAATTCTAAATTCATTTTTATATATTTGTTTAAAATAATATGCATATTTTCAGAATTTGTTTAATATAGCAAAATTTATATTTTTTAACATATTTACCCTTTTGATAATACCGATCTATATAGTAGTATGTTTTTATCAGCACAGTCTTTGGAAATTCTATAGATATACACAGTGGTGGAATAGATTTAGCTTTCCCACATCATGAAAATGAAGAGGCACAATCTTGCTGTTATCATGATGTTGATCAGTGGGTTAATTACTGGCTTCACTGTGGCCATTTAAGTCTGAAAGGGGATGTGAAGATGTCAAAGAGTCTAAAGAACACCATAAGCATACAAGATTATCTCGAAAACTATTCGGCAAATAATCTTAGAATGCTTTGTCTTTTGTCTCATTATCGAAATGGTACATATAATAATGTTCAACATCAATTTTATATAATTTAATCCAGTTGTAATGGACTGAGTTTTTCGTTGCAGGTATTGAATTTTCAGATGAAGTTATACAAACTGCAGTGTCAGTAACCAAGAAACTTGATAATTTCATAAATGACTGTGATAATTATGTTGCTGGAAAATTTAAAACCGGTAAAATTGATGAAAATCTTTTATATACAGTAAGTTATCAATTTTTTCATAATTGTTACTACGTATACGTTAGTTTTTTTAACATCATGTTATTATTTATACAAATATGCAATAAAGTTTACAAAATTCCAAATTACAAAGCTAAACATTGATTTTTTTTCTTTAAATCAAGTATATGTATATAAATATATTAATATATAATATTCAAATATTTTCAAGTATATGTATATAAATATATTAATATAAATATATTAATATATAAAATTTTAAGAAACTTTTTTGCAGTAGCTACTACAAATAATTAAGCTAATTTAAATGTTTTTTAGACTTTACATGATACAAGAAATAAAGTTTACTCGGCATTGGCAGATGATTTTGACACTTCAAAAGCAATGCATGCGATTATAAATCTTGTTAGAACAGGAAACAAGATGCTTCACCAGGATAATGTAAATCGAATGTGTATAAGAAATATGCTATTAATAATTAATAATCTATAATATTACAATCTTATTTATACTCTAAACTATTTATACTATCTACTAATCTATTTACTTATTTTTTAATTGCAGATAACATCTCGCAATAATGTAAGCGTGGTTGCCGCAGTTTCGAATTATCTTTCAAATATTCTCTCAAAGTTAGGCATTTCACGATCCACAAAATTGACAGTAGAAAATAGACAAATGGAAGATATTATTGATCATTTTCTAAACTTCAGGATGATTGTCAGAATCAGAGCACTTGAGCAAAATCCAAAGGATACAATTTTATTAAAAGAATGCGACAACGCACGAAAATGTTTATCTACTTGTGGGATTACGTTAAAGGTACAAATTTTTATAATCATGTTTTAAAATAATGATTATATATGAGATCTATATTATCATTGATTGCAGGATAAACAAAATGATACCAGCTGGAGTTGGAAACAATAATCATATTTTAAATAAAAATGTATTAAAATTATTCTTTTCATTTAATTGTAAATACCCCAATCGATCAATATCTCAATCCGTAGTTTCTTTTAATTTCTTTGCGCCGTCGTTATTATCATCAGCAATTTTTCTCTTTTGGGTATTTTTTTCTGATAATGTTTTTTTTAAGCCTTTCATCTTCCTTGTCTGAATACCGATAATATTTTGTGAGCCAATATGTATACGGCCATACGTTGTTCCAAATGTATCTTTAGAAATATTTTTTTTCGTCTTTGCCTATAAAATTACAATTTTATTAAATTATATTAAATTAAAATATACATCTTTACTGAATTGATAATTTATGAAAATTTAGAATTATTTATAAAACAATACCTTGAGTGCGTTAGGTTTCCGACAAGCTCGATTGAATAAATCTTCAGAGGCAAACTTGTTACGCCTGCACACTAAATCAGCACGTGGTCCTATTTCCACAAGTTCTATCCTAGGTGTTCTCGTGTTAGATTTTTTTAAAAGTATCCTAAAAATTATTAGATCAATATATGATCACTTTAAGTTAAGATCGCAAATCTATTCTTTTACATATTTATGTTATTGCAATATTTATTTTACGTGACTTTTTTTATGGTTTTACTATTGATATATATATATATATATTTAAATAATCAATAAAAAGTTGAAAAAAATAAAAATAAATTTTTACTTTTACTTTTATCTCACCTATAACTGCGTAGAAGTATTTTATTCTCGACAGCTATAAAACTTAAAACATGTTCAAGACCTTGCAATCTGATCTTTTGAACTTCTTCTCTAAGGAACATGTCAATGAGTAAGTTTTTGATCCTTCCATATTCATGATTACTTTCAAAGAGTTCACCATTAAATATCAACAATGGTTTTATTCCTGAGGTAATCTTTTCAACTTTGAAGTCTTTCAATCCTTTATAATTTTCTACGCCAAATTCTATCATGTCTAATAACATATGCTCGTACATTCGACCCATTATAAGATTGTGTGGACGTTTCTTATTATGAGTAGCTATCATGAAAAGAGATGCATCATACTTAAAAGCAAATTTTTCAATAGGTGTAATATCCTCAAATGGCAGTATATCATTTTTCTGTTTCATCATTTGTACATGAGGTTTCTTCAAATCATACTGGAAAATATATTTAATTTATAATTGAAAATGTCTGTTGCTATAAAAGTTGAAGCAACATCAATAAAAATTATATTTGCTTACCAAATCCTTCATAATATCTGTAACGATTTGTGACGTGCGATTACCCTTGAGACATAAAGCTTCTTTAGCATTTTCTATCAACTTAGGCTCCTTCTTCAATATAGCTTTCTTACCCTTATGTGTAATTGGCTTTCTATAAAAACATATTGCATAAAATTATAATGCATAATGAAATCTACAATAACCTACATATACAATTCCATGTATATTAAGGAATAATGTTTAATATTACTTTGTATGCTGTAAATACACTGAGATACATGACAAACTTACGTAATTCTGTTTACAGCAGGCATGATGAAATAATAAATTGATACTAAAAATTACAATTTTATATTTTTCTCAGTAAAAGTGAATAAACCTGAAATAACCTAACCACACACATGGCTCGATTGCACACCGTACAGTTGGTAAGGGCCTGCGCGAATAGAGGAACAAGAATTAGATATTAATAGCGTTTTCGATTGGGGTGCACTGGCTGCACTCAGTGTCAAGAGCG